AAAAAAAAAATTGCTGGAAAACAGAGGGAACCTGTGTGAAGATGGGAGAAGGGAAGGGGAGGGGAGGGGAGGGGAGGGAAGGGAAGGGAAGGGAAGGGAAGGGAAGGGAAGGGGTTTTCATAGAGTGACACCCAGAGAACTCTGTGAGTGCTTTTAATGAGATTTCACCCTCACAGAGCATTGCTGATGTAATCTGAGATGGATCCATTGATACCAAACTCATTTTACATTCAGAGATCCAGGTCAGCTCCTCCCAGATGAAAATCCTTCAACAACCCATCATTACTGCTCTGCAGCACTGGACTGGGCTGGCCTGGCTGTTTCCATTCCCCTCTCAGGCACAGCTTTGCTCAAGGGCACACCATGAGACAACAGAACTTGGCACATGTTCCCTGACTCCAGACTCGTTTCAGCTTCCTGGTCACCTTGTGTTGCCATGGCTTCACAGGGCACTGGGAATTCACTCCCTCACTTTTATTTCAGTTTTGGTTTGAACAGGCTGAGGTCTCAGTCACTTGGCGCTTGATTCCCTCAGCTCCCATACCACAGGAAAGGAGTTGCAGGAGTCCTTCCTCTGATGTATTCCCACCTGTGCTGTGGATACATGGAGGATTTAAATTGTGAATTTGTCCAGGCAGGGTGTGGGTGTCCCTCTCTGGAAACATTCCAAACCCACCTGGATGTGTTCCTGTGCCACCTGCTCCAGGTGACCCTGCCTTGGAAGATCTCCAGAGGCCCCTTCCAGCCCCAGGTATCCTGGGATTCTGTAAACTCCTGGAATCTTTCTGGTTCCAGGAAAGCAGCACCAGTCTGGTGAGCAGAGCACTGGTTATGAGGATTAAACAGTGGGAGCTAAATACCATCACTCCAAATTTGCCACTTTTCCTCTTTCTCCCCCAGCACTCTATGCTGCCCATGATGCCACTAGGTCTGGAACATCCCTTGGGCCACCTGTCCTGGCTGTGTCCCCTCCCAGCTCCTTGTGCATCCCAATCCACTCCTGGTGGGTGAGGAGCAAAGAAGGCCTTGGCTCTGTGCAAACATTAATGAAAATATCCCATTGTTATCTACATTGCTCCCAGCACAAATCCCAAATAGCCCCACACAAGCTACCAGAAAGAAAATTAACTTTATCCCAGCAAAACCAGTAATATTTTCCCTCCCTCCCTCCCAAATTCTCATTCAAGTTTCAATCCAGCAGCAGATCTTTATTTTCTTTGAAATGTCAAACAATTCATCATTTTGCACTTTGCTTGTTCCCCGTGAACTTGAAGGCTTTATTGGAACTCTGTGATGTCAGCCCAAGACAATGCTCAGTGATTTACCAGAAACAATGTGTCTCATGTCACCCTGCCTGGTTTTGGTTGCAAGAAAAAAAGCTGCAAGAGAGCTCTGGCATTGTCCCTGTTATCACACTCACAATAAAACCCCTGGATTCAAACACATGCTGGACAGTTCTCATCTTTTTTATTCCAGTCTCCCATCCCTCATCCATGTTGAAAGGCGCTCTTGCCCTGCCCTACAGGTCCCAAGGAAGATGGTGATGGACAATTTGTCTCCAAATCAGCTGGATGCAGACTCCAAGGGTGGCTCTTCCAAAGGGGCACAGAGAAAATCGGGAAAGGAGCACCTTTGTTTCCTGAATGATGCTCAGAGAGCTTGAACAGGCCCAGCAGGCAACATCAGGGCTGAATTATCTGGATATATCGGGTGTGGGTGGATATCCCCACCCATGGTCAGAATGAAGGGATTCCAGGCAGCCTGGTCCTGGCAAATCCAGCAATTTCTTGTGGGAGTGTGGCAGTGCTGAAAGCTCCTTGGAAATGCAGCAGTAGCTGTCCCAAAAAACCAGGAATACCTAAGGATCATTGAGTCATGGAATGGTTTGGCTTGGAAGGGACCTCTAGCACATCTAGTCCAACCTCTCTGCAATAAGTAGGGACATCTTCAACCAGACCAGGGCTCAGAGCCCCATCCAGCTTGGCCTTGGATGTTCCCAGGGATGTGTCAGGAGCAGTGGAGGGGTGTCTTGTAGATCTGGTGTGAAGCAACATCTGGAACACTTGGAAGTGTCCAGGAAGGATAAGGGGCAGGAAAACACCAGCCCAGCATTGAGCATGAGCACCTCCATCCAATGATTTACTGAGCAATTTGCAGGTCTGGCTCTGTTTCTCCCACTTTGGAAACATCCAGGTGAGTCCCTAAGTGTGAGAGGGTTGAGATGAAGAATGGGAGAACAACCCAGAGCTTTTCCATGTGGAGATGTCCCTGCCTGGAGCAGGCTGCAGCTCCTCAGGGTGAGAGAGGCTATGCAGTCATTACCCCAGACCCACACGTGCACCCACACACACACACACTGATTTTATTAAGCCATTCCATGCAAGGATTTTATGTATGTATATTTTTTTTTATTTGGAAAACTTCAGAGTGCTGTTTTTTCACACACAGTAAAGTTAGCTTTGCTGAGATTCATTAGTCCCCTTTCCCCCTGTGTGTAAATGGATCTCTCTCAGTTATGCAATGCAAGGGTACACAACCATGAAAAGTGCAGAGCCAGCCAAAAAAAGCATTGTTCTGAACTCGGACGTGTAAAATATTCATATTCAATAATAAAAAAATAAAAAACACCAGCCCTTAATAAAAAATTCACAGTGTAAAATATGCATTGTCCTCCCATCCCCAGGGCTGCAGCCCTTTCCAGCCCAACACGTTCCAGGGGTTTTCACTGCCTTGTTGGACTCGATTAATTCCGAACCAACTCACCCGCAGACATCCCGGGACTAGGTGCCTAAATTGATTCTGGTTTCTCTGAGGGCACTGGATCCATGGCTGCAGGAACAGCTGGCAGGAGCTGGGGTTGCTCAGAGCAGAGTCTGTGTGGCAGGGCTGTCCCCGTGCTGGTGTCATATCTGGGC